GATTGCCCAGCTGCGTCTCTACTTTAACACCCAGTCCATGCATTGGAAGCCTCAAGAACAGACTACTATAATGTTCTCTGTGTGGGGCTATCCATGAAGCTGATACGGAAACTTCAGCAGGTCCAGAACATGGTGGCCAGACTTTTGAGCAGATTAAATAGATATTGGCATATTTCTCCCACTCTGGCTGCCTTAGACGAGTCACCTGTTAATTTCCGAGCCAGCTTGATGGAGATGACAATAACATACAAGGCCCTAAATTGTTTGTGGCATTGATAGAAGCCCTGCTTCCAATGAGTTCTGCCTACCCTACTCATTTGTCTCAGGTGGAGCGGCTGAGGAATCTGGCCCTGAGAGAGGCATGAAAGAAAAGACCAAAAATTGGGCCTCCTCAGCAGCCACACAACATTTATGGAACCAGCTCCCGCCTGATATCCAATCTGGCCCCTTCCCTGGCTCTTTTTAAAGAGATCATTAAAAACCTGGCTATTTGGACAGGCCTTTGAAAACATACCATCAACAGAACACAGAGCATCTATCAACTCTGAAGCTAGTGTTTCTGCCATCTTGACTGTTTTTATTAATTGTTGTTTCTATGGGTTATTTTTAAATTTATAATGTTTATAAGCAACTTATAATGTTTAGTATATGTTTATTTTACTTTATTTTTACTTTATTATATTTTGGTTTGTTGATGCTGATTATTGTCTTATTTTCTATTGTGAACTGCCTAGAGTGGCTAGATAGATGGTATAGAAATCCAATCCAATCCAATCCATCCATCCATCTATCCATGTGCACCTTATAACCAGTTTTTAAAGAGCATTTCAATTACTCAGTAGGAACACAGAAAATGACTCAAAAACAATGTGACTTGAGTTGACTAAAATTAAAATGCTATATATTTTGGGATATATTTTTTAGAAATGTAGACAGACTCTAAGTCAATTAATAAAACAGCTTGATAAAATAAACGTCCCTCTGGTGGCCATTTATTTTAACTTGCTTCCTAAGAAAATGAAACGAGTCAGGGAAAATAAATACACACTTTGGAATTTATTGTTTGAACTTGAAACTCAGCATGGTTTTAACACAGCTCAAATCCCAGATACTTTGGCTGTGTGACCAGGCCCTCAGACTCTGTTGTGGACACTGGTGGTTTCTGTTAATGGTGTCATGTTGTTGTTTCCAAAAGTACTGAAACAATTGCTGACAGTACGATGAGGGTGAGGTGGTGAAAGATTACCACAAAACCAGGAAGCTAAATCTTAAATCACCTATTTAAACTGAATGCTACTTCTCCTCTGAGGTAATGTAGTCCCTACCAAAATGACTTTGAGGACTCCTGCCTCTCATGATTGTGCATACCAGAGGTAGCTAACCACAGATCAGTTCTCACACCCAGAACTACAGCATGAGCTTTATGTGAGCTTTGTTGAATGTTTTGCCAAGTATATATGCAGATATGTTGAAATTGATTGACCCTGGAGATTGCCCAGGTTCTACTTCTATCCAAATGAGTTGCCAGGAAAACAAACCTCTTACTGGAAACCAGTTGATAACCAGCATTTCCTGAATAACATTTATCAGTGTTCAGGAATAGATGTCATCTGTGCTTTATTGATGTTGTACATTGTATTGAACATGGGTCCCGAAATGACTTTGAGGACTCCTGCCTTTCATAATTGTGCATACCAGGTAGCTAACCACAGATCAGTTCTCACTCCCAGAACTACAGCATGAGCTTTATGTGAGCTTTATTGATTGTTTTGCCAAGTAAATATGCCAATATGTCAAAATTGATTGTCCCTAGAGATTGCCCAGATTCTACTTCTATCCAAATAAGTTGCCAGGAAAAAAAACCTCTTACTGGAAACCAGCTGATAACCACCATTTCCTGAATAACATTTATCAGTGTTCAGGAATAGATGTCATCTATGCTTTATTGATGTTATACATTGTATTGAACATGGGTCATTGCAATTAATTTCATTTATTATTTTTGCCAACATGCATTGTTAACACACAACATAAAGAAGCTGCTAGAACATGCCAGGAGATGCTTAGTCACCTATGAGAATTTGCATGTCTCCTTGGTTGCCCATCTTAGTGGAAAGGTCAAAAGGTGTTTGGAGACATACATTTGAGTGTTCATAAATTTGTCCGTATTATGTTTAGAGGTGTGCCTCATCAATCTGAAGAAGTAATGAAGCCAAACATCTCAACTCTTAAACAAGGATTAACCACTGGATTAACAGAAACAAGAAAACAAGTTAAACAGCATTCATAGGAAACTGATAAATTAAAAACTAGGCAGCAAGAATCAGAACTAGCCCAAGGAGCCTTAGACCTAAAACTCCAAGGAGCAAATCAAAAGACTGAAATATTAGAGATACAGAATAGGAACCACACCTTATTTTAAAAAATCTCAGAATATATTGGGCAAAACAGACATGGAAGAGGCATTTTCCATATTAATATGGGGGCATTTCAAGACTGGAGAAGAATTATTGGACTGCGATAAAATCTACAGAATTAACTCCAAATTTGCAACAAGGAACAAAGTCCCAAGAGACCTTCTAAACAAGTACAAAAAACTAGAGGCCTTATATTGAGTAAAATAAGAACCAACCCACTGGAAGTATATGGGACAGAAGTACAAAATTTTCAAGGTCTTCCATCACATGAATCAAGGAAATGAAAAGCCTGATTTTTTTCACATAAGAAAAGCAAAAAAAAAAAAAAAAGGTATCAGAAATCTGAAGAAATTCTAAAGAGAGACAGCATAAGATTTGTAATAGATGGGATGGAATTTGTAGAAAAAAACCAACATAAAACAGCATATGTTTTTAGATGTAGAAAAGGCATTTGATATTTCCTGGAGCTTTCTAAGTAAAGTTTTGCAGCATTTGAATTGTGGCACAAAGTTTGAAAATTCACCCCAAGGAATTCATAAGAAGCAACATTTAAAAAAAAATAAATGGGATCTTACCTGATGGGTTTATTATTGAGAAGGGAACCAGACAAGGCTGCCCCTTGTCATCACTCTTGTCTATTTTAGCAATGGAGATCTTTGCAACCAAGATTAGACAAGACAGCCAAGCTGAAGGATTAAAAACAGACGGAGAGGAGTTGAAGCTAAGATGTTATACAGATGATGTTGTTTTCACAATCTCCAATCCATTATATTCAATACAACAGGTAATGGAACAAATAGCAAAGTTTGGACTCCATTCATGTTTTTAAATTAATGGGGGGAAAATCAAAATTATAACAAACTTTCTTACAAAACAACAAGAAGTTAACATTATAAAAATATAGGGTGTGAATTAACTGATTAACCAATAAAATAGCTAGGTATTTATTTAACAGGAAATAATAAAACACTATATAAGGATAATTATGAAAGCATATGGGAAAAATACAGAAATATCTAAGAAGATGGACTAATGTAAAACTCTCCTGGCTGGAAAGAATATCAGCAATAAAAATGAATATATTGCCAAAAATTAACTTTTTGTTTCAAATGATTCCAATTACAATTCAAGATTTAAAAAAAAGACTGACAAAAACAAATAAATACATTCATATGGAGTGGCAAAAAAGAAGGACAAGATTTATAGTATAACAAGATGATAAGAAAAGAGGAGGATTGGCTGTGCCTAATGTTAAATTATGTTGTCAAGCTGCAGGTTTAGTGTGGACTGTAGACTGGATCAAAAAATCCAAATGACAGGTTAAAGAAGCTGGAATCCACTGATCAATGTTAAAGTCTACACAACAAGTTATGAATGCAAAAATAAATAAATCCCACTATAAACACATAATCAGGGACAGCCTGTTAAAAACATGGGATTCCTTAAAATTGAAGATCAGTCCAACAACATCACTGATAAGGGCTCCTATGGATGCCTATTTCAACAAGCAAGAGGGAACAATACATGCCCTTATAACGTTTCAGGAGATGAGAGAGTCACAGGGCGGAATCAAATCTTGGCAAGGAATAATTGAAGAAGGAAAAAAAAAGATAAGCTGGCCATCTTATCTTAAATTAATGTCAAGATATAAAGAGGCTACACAAGATAATAATTATGCAAAAAACAAGCAGATATTAGGCCAAGTATACAAACTATTCCTTCAATTTGAAAGAGAAATTGAGCCACTTAAAAAATCAATATGCTAAAGAGGATGCAGACTCTAGGGAAAGTGATAACCTTCTTTCAATGGGAGGGGTATGGACAACAAATATAACATTCACTGCAAGTCAAACTTTGAGAGAAAACTGGTTTAAAATGCATTAGTGATGGTATATAACTCCAAAAACATAAAAAACATGGGCAACATTTATTTGAGTCTCTGTGGAAGTGCCCAGAAGCTGAAGATACATACTACCACGCGTGGTCGACTTGCAAAAAGAGAAAACAATTTTTGGAAATACATTCCAAAATGCAAAAGATTCTGAATGTTGAATTTGAAATGAAACCAGAGACCATGCTCGTGGGAATAAAACGAGTAGCGTTCACATTCTAAAATGTTAACAAAAAATAAAATGCTGTTTAAAATGTGGTTGGTGCTATACAGTGGAGTCCCCCAGATGCTGTTAATATTATTATTTTTCCCTTTTCTTTTCTCTCTCTTTTTTTGGTATCATTTTTAAAAATCACCATATTGCCATAGGTTTTTGGATTTAGGTCTGTGGGATTTTTTAAAGTTTCAATTTGTAAATCTCCCAGAGGAGTGCATGCATTAGCCAGGTTAAAATAGACCCAGATCAAATGATGTTTTCATATTGCATCATTTCTTTGTACCATTTTAAAGACTGCACAGAGATATGGTGTTGGTGAGGCTGTTAAAAAGACAAAGAAACCTCTGTGTGTTTTGACAGCTTCATGGTGGCTTCAGAAATTATTAGATTCCACAAACTCCTCCCCATATACTGATTAAACATGGAGCTATTGCAATAGGGCCTGCCTTGAAGAGCGCTCTTTGAATAAATACCAAAGTCCTGCCTGCTCCTGCTGACCCTCCACATCACGATGGAGGGGATGGCTCTCTACCTGGTAGCTGCTCTCCTGGTCTGTTTTCCAGCTCCATCTCACAGCCAGCTGTAAGTAGAAGATACACATCAGTGGCCCACCCTGTTTTTCTGTTTCTTAACCCAGAAAAAATGTTTTCTTCAGGAAAATGTTCTCTGCATTTCTCTTCTGAAGTTCTGTGCTGCAAGAGATCCATCAAATGGAAGATTCTGCTCCTTTTAGCAGGGATTTGGGAAAGGCTCAAAGACAGTGAATTTCTCCTTAGGTGTCTAAACATTTTGGTGCCCAGAGCCACAAAATCTGAATAGTCACAAATAATATCTCCAGTTGGCAGCTTTTCATGCCAAATTTGTGGCACAAAGTGGGGCACTTCACTGTCTAAGGACAGAGCCAGCCAGGAACTTCTGTGGTGGAGATTAATTCTTTGTTTGTTTTAGAAAAGGTTGAAGCCGTGCTTTTGAAAGAAGAACAACAACCCTGTATGAACATTTTTTATATTACACTTATTATCTCCTTTCCATTTTTATTAATTTCTACCTTCTCTCTTTTTTCAATAATTTGTCAAATTATCATAATTAATCTGCCCTCTTCTCCATTCCTTCCTTCAGTTTTCAGTTAGAAGTGTATTCAATTGTGCAAATCTCTCATCTCCCAGTATTTCTCTTATTCACCCTCTATTATACATCTTCCATAACCAGTCTTTTATTCTAATCCCACTGCTCGTTTAATAGCTTTTTAAAGCTTCCTTTTCAGATTTTTTGGGAAATTTCTTAATTCTACCACCAGACTCAAAGGAGAATTTGGTGGGCTCAGTATTCCCCTATAACTTTTCTAATTTAGCAACATATTACTTAGAAAGGGATTATCAGTACTTCAAACCACATATCTCATATTTTCTTTAAATAGCTCTACATTCAGCTGCTTCCTGTGGATACCTTCATATAGCCGTTGTAATCACACTTGTAAGTTAAACCTATGTTTACCTCCCAATGGCTAATCATAAAACAGAGCATGCTAAACACAAGACACGAGGTGAAGAAAACTATACTCTATGGCAAAGTGGTGAACCACTTGGGAGAGCACCTCTTCTGAAACAATGCTAAGTGTATCTGGCCCTAGAGAAAGCCAGTGTGACAGAAGAAAAGCAACAGAGTATTCAGGGCACCATGAAGAAAGGCCTATGGAACAAGGCCTGTTCTGTCTGTATTTATAGTTTTTATGCTTAATTAAAGCATTGGTTTCTTGTCTTTTCTAAAACAAGAGGACCCAAAGGTGTAGCATGGAATTGTAATCTAATAATATTAACACAAACCTCAACACATCAATTGTTTCTCTCTGCATAGCTTCTCCCTCATCACCCCCAGTGTCTTGAGGATAGACAGCTAAGAGCAGGTTGTGGTGGAGGCTCATGGACTCAATGCTGAAACAGAGGTAACAATCACCGTCCTAGATTTCCCTCACAAGAGGAACAACTTCTACTGGATCAAAGCTTCCCTGAAGCCAGAAAATGGCATGATAGCAACTCCATTCATAAAGGTGTGTTTGGTATGGTTATAAACGCTTTTACTGTCTTCTAACTTGTAGCTAATAGTTCTGAAGTGTGCCCTCAGATCAACTTTGTAATGTTGAAAGTCATGTTACAATAACATTACAGCAAAGAAGTGCTTAGAAAGCCAATTTCTCCATGTAAAAAAAGGGGGGAAACGGGGGGGGGGAAGTCTTGTTAGAATCTCAAGCTTGGTAGTTTCCTCAAACTTGCCTGCCAGCCAGCCGAATCTTGTCCCTAGGCCTCCCAGTAAAATGCATGCTCCTTTCCCCAACCCGATTGTTAGAGCAAATGGGACCTGTCAGCCACCTTCTCATTCCTCTGCTTTGCCCATTGTCCCTTCCACAGGACCTGTGCATATGCATTTTTGCACTGTTCTTGCAAATATATTTGCTCCTGAGGTGTGTGCTGAAAGTCAAGTGCTCAAACAAGTGAATATTTTTCAGTGTAGTCTGTATTTTACTGATATGTCTGAAGAAGTGGCCAATTTTCCATAAAAGCTTACATGAAAACATAGCAATCGGTCTTTAAAGCGCTACAATGTCTTTTTCTGCTTTTGTTTTGTTTTGTGTTTCTTGCTTTTTGTTTTGTTTTCTCTTTCTTGTTGAAATGCTTGCACAGACTAATATGGCCACAACTCCTAAAACTGCTCTAAAATTCACCCTTAGCAAATACCAATATACAATTTCTGTGACATTGTTAGTTATGCTGGTAGAGGCCAGAATAATTTACTTCTCTTGTTCCTGATCTTTCCACACAGCTCTCCGCAAGAGACCTCAAGAAGGATTCCAGGAAAAAGACATATGTTGTTGTCCACGCCATCTCTACTCACTTC